GCCGCTTAAGGTTGCTACGGGCGGCTTAAAGGTCGAGGCAAAGCAGGCAAATTTAGTGCTATATACGAAGTTATAACTATCTTTAAGTACGTACTCACCTTACTCGAAGCTCGTACGCGCTAATACGAGCAAGTTGATTTCAACTACACTAACGCGCTAGAGGACTACTTTAAAAATCAATAAGACGGCAAATTGGCTGCCGTTTCTGGCAGACGCTGAAGCAGAATTCGGATGCTGACATGCCGCCAAACCTCTCTATTGTACTCGGTGGCTTAGCGGCCCACGCGCTTCTCCGGATGACTACATTAAGACTAGCGCATCCACTAGTGTTTTGTCTGAAGCACAACCTTGTCCTTACACACTGGTTGTAAGCTTGCAATCTTCCCATTCCCTATTGGTATGTAAGGGTAATCCCTGTATCATTATGCCGAGCTTGTCCAGGCACATGATCATCTCTTGGGAGCAACAGTAACTCGATTGCGTACTTAAGACTGGCCGTGGCCACGAATCTAGGCTACAAAAGCGACTTGCATAATCAACAAACTGTTTCCTTATCCACAAGTCCGTTATTACATCAACTTTACTCCCTTGTGAGGCGCTGCTTTCTCTCACCACAGACAAGCGGGCTGGTAAATAGTTGTAATGGATTGCAGTCGCACGAAGACGCTGTCGAGGTCTATCTCAACTTCAGACAACAACTCGGAATATCAGACTGATGCGACAAGTACCGAGAGCGACGCTGGAAACGAGTCCCAGTCACAGCCAGGTGTGCTCAGCAATGATGGGATGTCTGAGGATGAATCTGTCCGTCCGCCAGAGTTTTATCGAGAGCATGCAAGCCGGGTCAACAACACAGAGATCCCCCAATTCTATGCGGACAGCACAATCCGGCAACTGAATAGTGTTGAGTTGCAATGGCGGCGGTAAGTCTCCATCCCCACCCCTATGCCTCTCGGTTACTACGCAGTCCTAAAGCGTGCGATGCTAAATGTTGCACAGATTTTGTAAAGTTATTCGAAAGCACCCGGTAAAGTTGATGGAGTCAATCTCACGTGGTGATATTTCAAGCTTTTTCGCGTGGAAGCTAGATCAAACGCGCGGAACAGATAAACGAAGACTCCGTGGAACCAAAAGTGCGTCTTCTCTTGATACGTACCGGAAGCTATTCCTTAGAGTGTACAGAAAGTTGGTAGGGAAGGACATGGATAGTGAGATGTCAAGAGGCACGCTTTCGGTCAGTCAAATTCTCGTTCTGTTTAACTAGGAACACTCCAGAAGAGCTAACATGATTGCAAGGTGACAAAGAAGTTGATCCAAGACTACGATTTGAGCCACACACCGAGAGAGAAACCTCCCATGGACGCACACGACGTGCTTGAGATCATACAAACAACACTCACGACTGTCGAGAAGATGTTCCAGGTAGGAAGGTACCGCATACAGACATGCTTCTTCCTTCAAGGGGGGTTCATCACCGCAAACCGACCAGACGCTCTCCTCAAGTTGCGCTATCGAGATATTAAGGTCAGCATAGATCGAGATCCAAACGGCGGTCCACACAACATCGTGTTAGAATGGACATATGAATTCACCAAATCCTTCCTAGGGCCCAAAGCAGCGTACGTATATCAACTTCTAATCAGCTTTAGTGAGCATACAGAGCGCGCTAACTTAACAGGAACACATTTATTATCCCGGAAATTATCTTCGATCCCTCTTTAATCCTGAGTCCTCATGTTTTCTTGCTTGGCTTGATGTTTGCTGACAAAGTTTTCTCGATCAGTGAGCTGACTCCGGAGAACCTATTTACGCTTGACATTCCACCCGGGTGCTACTCACTCGAGGTGCCTATCAGAGAAGAAGTAGCTGACCTCTGCGTCTTTCGTCGATACAAGCAAACAGCAACAGAACGCACAATAAGTAGCGAACGACTGCCGTACCATACTCTCAAAAAGCACATGCAGGATGTCGGTGAAATCACAGGGTTCAAAGACGTGGCGAGACCGTACTGTCTCCGATATGGATCAGCCAATGCTTTCGATAAGGACGGTACGTAATGAGCAAAAGCAAAAGTCGCGAGCAGAAAAGGACTGACCTCACTCTGATTATAGGCAACACTAGCGTCGACTTGCGAAATATGATCATGAAGCACGCCAATACAGATGTGTTTCTGAATCATTACCTATCCACACGAATTACCACAGATGCACAAGCCGTTGTACGAGGCTTAGCGCCTCAAAAAGAGCTTATACAGGCGGCATGCAGAATGAGCCGAAAGATCGACCCGAGGCGACCTCGTTTTCTTACGGAGGACCAAAAACGGTCTGTTCTAGAACACCCGCGAATCAAACAACTGCTTCTACAGCAGAAAAGATTGATGAAGCATTCACCAGACTACAAGGAGGTCCAGAAGAAGATCCGTAACGAAAAGCAGCACTTGATGTACGATCTCAGGAAAAAAATCAGGAACGGATACGACAAAGCGCAAGCAGAGAAAGACATACAGCTACAACTCTCTGGTGGAATGTTCGAGGAAAAGATCAAGACCGATTTAAGGCGGTCTTCTCAACACACGGAGAAACATATGAAGTTGATTGAGGCAATGTTGTCGTTGCCTGGGCCATCTCGTCCGGAAGAGAATGAAAGACGAAGTAAAGCCATCAGGGCAATTATAGATTACTGCGGGGTTGAGGAAGGCGGAACGCCGAGAAACCATAGAGTAGGCCCGTGTGCCAACTATGGGCTGCGAGAGGCTATTAAAGATGATGAAGAGACTCTCGAAGAGGCGAAGATAGAGGTTTTCACAGAAAAAAGACCAAAGAGATGCTTTATATGTTTGGGTAATAACGCTCTCCCCGTAAAAGAGCGGGCGAGGGAATTTTCGGCGCCGGGCACACTTAACAGACATTTCAAAGATCATCTGAGGCGTTTTAACAACAAAACAGGCGAGATGTGTAATCTATGTAAGTTGCACTTGGAAAATGAAGAGCACATGAAGCGCCATGCTTTCGATAAGCATGGCACTGTTGTAAGGATCTAGCCCTTACTGGGTGCTTATGCCACGCAATCCCGAGGTACATAAATCTATACTCTACTACCGTGGCCCGGCAACGGTTCGTCTCTAGTCTATTAAGGAGCAATATACTCGTACCTCTACTATTGTTGTGCATCTAGTAAGAAAAGAAACGGGAATCTCTAGATCCGACCTGCCACATCTTGGAAGCACAGTAGCAAGTGCTACTTTGCCAGTATTGACAGGAACGGGTTGGAAAAGGCGTGAGGCTTTTTATATAGTTGAGACAAGCATACAGGATTTCGCCACGAAACGTATCCTGAGCATGTTTTGCAGGTACAGCACTCTTCTGAGTTTGATTTAGTTTAGATTCGAGTACAATGAGCTCTGTCACTACCTCAATTCCCACAAAGACTCAATTAAGATCCATGATTGTGTCAATCCACCTTCTGAACTACTGTGTTTGCGCAACCGAGTGCCCAGACTCGTTTTTCGGACATTGTCTGTGAATCCATGCATCGGGTGCATGGATACGGCATGGTAACCATAGTTGCTAACAAGCAAGTATACTTGCAAGTATTTGATAGCTTATTTGCAAATAAGCAAATCAATCAAATCAAATATGAAGCTGTAAAATAACCAAACAAATCAAATACGCAGTGTTATACTTGCTTGATTGATTGTATATATTTGGTCTTGGCGTCTCTCTGGCCATATCATATGTGACCTCAAAGGTGAGGATATTGTAATGGTAATCTCGTGATGGTTTCTTAAAGCCAAGATTTAGGTTAGTAAGCAAAATAAGCGTTTGTTTTGATCTATTAGGCCTATTGTCTAGAATACCTACGCGTATTTCTTAATCACAACGCCCATTCACAGCTACCTACAGTATCTTTTTACGCGCTTATTGCTATGAGGAGACAGCCGAAAGGTACCAAACGCGCGGCCGCGTCTAGCAATAGCGACGCTGGTCCGTCAAAACGTCGCAGGCACACTGAGAGGGGCACAGAGAGCCAGCCCGTAGTTGTCGACGCGACACAGCCATCATCGACGCGTCAAGCCCTAGATGCTGCTAGCCAGGCCACCAATTTCGAGACACAACTGCGTAATTCGGTACTACAAAACGCGATTACCGTGCCCGTCGAGTCTTCTGAAGCCGCCACGGTGGCCCCAACAACAACAGCAGCATCTAGCGACGACGAGGATACTGGTCTCGATGAGGGATACGCGGATGATTTTGGGGGGATAGAGTGGGAGCGCCTGCCGAAGTACATGCGGCCGCCGCGTACATCGAAGCGCAAGAAAAGCTGGGTATATGGTCACGGCTATCGCGTCGCTTTGAGAAGTAGCCCAAGCCGAATCTTCTGGATCTGTAGGCTCTGCCATACTCGCAAAGCGCACGACGTTGCCGGTAAGATTGGTGTAGAGACAACGTTCGCGACAAGCTCAGCAGCAGCTCATCTGCTTTCTCGCCACCGTATATCGAGACCTGGCGCGCCAGTACAGCTAGCTAGCCGTGGGCAGAAGACGATTACTATGATAGCTAACTCTGGTGTAAGAGTTAGCCAAAGTGTAGCGAACGAGCTTGGTAGTTTTGATATACAGGCGTTTCGAATAGCTGCTGTAAGCTGGATTATTGACAACAATATCGCGCTGTCTCAGTTTGAGAGCCCCGCGTTTCGATCGATGATACGATTCTCAAACCCCGAAGCCGAGAAAGCCTTGTGGGCAAACCATGAGAGCGTGTCGCGCTACGTAATGAAGCTGTATACGTTTATGCAACCTCAGGTTGTCGCGAGGCTGCGCACTGCGGCAAGCAAGATCCATATAAGCTTTGACGGCTGGACGACTAGAGGCGGCAAGCGTGGCTTCTTTGGTATAGTCGCTCACTTTGTATCAGCCAGCGGCATCCTCGAGGACGTTGCTATCGACCTACCGCAGCTTGCAGGTGCTCACACAGGCGATAGGATAGCTGATTGCGTTGAAAAGACGCTGTTAGAGTTTGGGATAACAGCGCCGAAGCTGGGCTACTTTATGCTCGACAACGCGTACAACAACGACGCAGCTATCGCCAGGCTTGGTAGCAAGTACGGGTTTTTGCCAAGCCACCGACGGCTGCGTTGTAGCGCTCACACGATTAATCTCGTCGGCCAGGCTGTAATTTTTGGCGTAAACAAAGACGCATTTAACAACGACGACTCTAATATACCAGTAAGTCTCGCTAGGCAGCTTAACACCGCAAGTAATACTAACTTCGCTGTTTAGGATGAGGAGCAATTCATGAGTGACTGGCGCAAGGATGGGCCGCTCGGTACGCTTATCGACGCTATCAATTACATCAAGACGCCGCAGCAATACGAGACGTTCTCCAGCTTTCAAACAATCGCTAACCAGGACCTGCCATCTAGCGAGAAAGTCAAAATACTTGAGCCTGTAAAGCCTGTCGTTACACGCTGGAACTCCTTCTGCTCAGCCTTTGAGCGGGCTGTACAGCTACAGGGAGCGTTTAACTCGTATATTAATTACCATGTTGCTGATCAGCGTCGCCTCGACGATTATGCTAGGGCGCACAATAACAAGATGCCCACCGCGCCGCGATGGATGAGGTCGGGCGGGCTGTCGGCCCACGACTGGCAAGTAATCGCTGATTATGTTCAGGTCCTCCAGCCGCTAAAGATGGCCACAAAGCGACTAGAGGGGCGCGGGAAGGCTGGTCGCTTTGGGGCAATATATGAGGTTATACCTGTCTTTGAATACCTTCTTGAGAGCCTTGAGGAGCGGATTCGAGGCTTTGATCGCGTGGATTTCGAGCAACCTAACGCGCCGGAGGATCACTTCGTAATTAATACGAAGGCTGCCTGGGCAAAGCTTAGCAACTACTACCAGAAGCTCGACGAGTCGCCCGTGTACTACGCCGCGTGCTGCCTACACCCATATTACAAGCGCTATTGCGACAAGGCGTGGCGTGAGAAGCCTGAGTGGCTTACTGCTGCCCATCACGGTTTCCAGCAACTCTGGGGTGAGTACCAGACTCGAAGGAGCCCGCCAGTTCGCCGGAGAGAGCCTATCTCGAGCGCTATCGACGACGCTATCGCCGCTATTATGGATGACGACTCAGACGACGACAGCAATCTTGACGAGTACGAGAAATGGCGCCGAGACGAGCCAAAATGGGCGAAGCAGCAGTACGAGAGCGCGGACAGCAGCGCGATTAAATACTGGGTTGCGCTTCAACCCAAGTATCCTATCCTCGCGCGCTTTGCGCTCGATGTATTAAGTATACCAGCTAGCAGCTGCGAGTGTGAGCGCATGTTCAGCGAGCTTGGGGATCTCCTCGCACCTCGACGCCGTCGTATTGGGTCGCAACTACTCGCCGCGCTTCAATGTATACGAGCTTGGATGAACGCTGGCGTCTGTTTACCTAATCAGTCAGTTTGTGATACACTTAGCAACAGCGACATTGACAGGCTGTATAGCCTCGACGAGTGGCAAGCTTCGAGCGATGACGACGGTAATTAACGGGCAAGTATATCCCATTAGCTGTTGTATACTTAGCTTGTGAAATATAGCTAAAAGCTTTACACGGCGATAGTAGCAACACGGGCAACTACACGGGCAATCACGACAGCTAGGGACTACATGCTGCTCCTTCCTAAAACGGCAACTATATAACCAAATAACCAAATAATCAATCAATCAAATACGCTCGTATGGGCCTATCAAACAAGCAAATCAAATACGACACCTGGAGAGACCCAAATCAAGCAAATAGAGTGCCTTATACTTGCTTGATTTGCTTGTTAGCAACTATGATGGTAACGGACTTGATAACCTCGAGATTGGCGTGCTTTGTTGCCCCATACGCTGTGACTCTGAAAAATATTGCTCTGGTGTCTAGCGAGCACGAATGAGGAAATGTACAGGAATCGGCAACA